AACCTCGTTAACCACTACCCTATACTAATTGTTTCTTAGCTGATTTTACAACATGTCAACCCTTGCTGGATGAGGTCCAGTTTGCTATGCAAATTCATTGTTAATTGTTCTCCCAGTCAGTTATCTGATATGCATGATACACGCTTAGGCGATCATGTATCTTTCGATGTATGATTGACGAGCAAAATTATTTCCGGCAGCAGGTTGCCATTTCTTCATTTTCTCCATCCTCATCTATAGAACACGGTTTACACTATTTATATTATTTACATTATTCGGACAATTGTCCTCATCTTTGTCGTCATATTTATTACGTTTCGGCTGTTGTATGCTCCGGCCTTCTTCAGGTGGTTGGAATGTCGAACTGAACCCTTTATTTCGCTAGACTGTTCTAGTTCCACGTGCCATGTTTTTAATGGATGTCAGTTATCAGTTATTTCCTGTTAATTCCCCTCTCCAAGTTCTCCACTGCCTTAACCGGCTTTTGAACACTGTTTGGGTCCTGTCAATGGATCTAACCAACGCCTTTATCCACTGTGCCAACTAGAACAGTCTACCCCAGTGAGCAAAATAAAGGGTTCAGTTTGACATTTGAACCACCCGAAGAAGGCCGGAGCGTACAACAACCAAAATAGTGTAATACATATGGCGACAAAGATGAAGACAATAGTCTGAATAATGTAAATAGTATACATAATACCTCATCTCAGAAATATAGACAGATACTGAAGAACCCGGTTTGTCTTACTATTTACCCATATCTGGTGGAAAAGAAGAGAATTCATACCAAGGTGAATGTAATAGATTCGTCTGGGATTCGAACTTGGTTCTCTGATTCTTCAATCCGAACCTCTATCCCACCGTGCCTCCCGACAGAAGCTAAAACACAATATGCACGTGATTTCTTAAAATAAAAAAAATAAAATATAAAATAAAATCGAAATTTATAATCTGAAGTTCTTTTTTCCTATTTTGTTATCGATTAATCCCACAATATTATGAATTAAAAAAAAAAAAAGATTTATTTTTTAAATTTAAAAAACTACGCCATATTAGATTTTTTTTTTATTTTGTGTGGCTTCTGGCGGGCGATCAATTAGCAATGAATTTAAATAATAAACAGAACCCCCTATTAACTTTTATAAAATTTAATTATTTTTTCTTAAATATTCATTATCTGGTGTGCGTAATATATATTTTAGTGTTATACGTTATTTATATAGACACAAATATTTAAGTAAATGCTCTGTTTTATAATAAACAGTATTAACAACATTTACCGGCCTGAACGTCCGAGAAATTTTCATAGAAAATATGTGTACTCCTCCGAATCGAACCTGTATCTTACACGGAACCTTCATATAGACTGACGTGCTATACCAGTTTAGCTACAGAGGAGCGTTTAGTTAGAAAGGTCGATTTTACTGTTTTAAAATTAGAATTTTACATAATTTTCCTTGATCATTCATTTCTTATCGAAACGTAGCCAAACGTAAACAAATGACGTCACAGACTACGAAATGTACAAAGTCCGACAATTACTTTAAGATATTTTCTGTTTTTACGTTATTTTTATAGATACAAATATTTAAGTAAATGTTCTGTTTATAATAAATAGTAATAACAACATTTACCGGCCTGAATGTCCGAGAAATTTTCACAGAAAATATGTGTCCTCCGACTGGAATCGAACTTGTATCCTACACGGAACCGTCATATAGCCTGGCCTGCAATACCAGTTTAGCTACGAGTGAGCGTCTAGCTAACAAAATCGATTTTCCTGTTTTTTAACTACAAATTTCCCATGATTTCCCTCGAAAGTTCATATCTGCTCGAAGCGTATCTTAACGTGAAGAAATGACGTCATACGCTACGACATGGACAAAGTCCGGCAATTATTTTAATATATTTTATCGTTATACGCTATTTATATAGACAGAAATATTTAAGTAAATGCTCTGTTTATAATAAACAGTATTAACAAAATTTACCGACCTGAAACAAAGCATTTACTTAAATATTCGTGTATATAAAAATAACGTCTAACATATATTAAAGTCAGTGCCGGATTTCGTAGTGTGAATATACTGTATGTATATTCACACTACACTATATTATGTAATGGACAAAGTCCGACAATTATTTAGGACATTTTTGTTATATTGATACCTTCTTTTTATTTGATACAAATATTTAAGTAAATGCTCTGTTTATAATAAACAGTATTAACCTTTACTGGCCTGAATGTCCATGAAATTTTTATAGAAAACATGCGTCTTCCGACAGAAATCGAACCTGTATCCAATACGGAACCATCATATAGCCTAACGTGTCTCTTAACTGAATAGGCAACAGAGGAGCGTTTGGTTAGCAAGTTCGATTTTACTGTTTTTTTTAAACACAATTCTCTATGATTTTCCCTCATTCATTTAAATCTGCTCAATGCGTATCTATATGACGGTTCCGTATAGGATACAGGTTCGATTCCAGTCGGAGGACACATATTTTCTGTGAAAATTTCTCGGACATTTAGGCCGGTAAATGTTGTTGATACTGTTTATTATAAACATATTTGTATGTATAAAAAGAACATATAAACATAAAAAATGTCTTACGCACACACACGCACACACACACACGTGTGTGTGTGATTATTTCTAGTCACAATGTCTGTTGTACAACTTTACTGTGTTGTACAGTATTTAAGTTAGGTTGGTCGATTTTGCTACATTGTTGCGTTATCTAATGTCGAATTTGGAACAAGCTAGACAGTGAGGATTGAACTTTCTACTCATTGTTAATGGTCAACCCGACTAGCCTCACTATGCATTACTCCACACATGATAGCTTGATTCGTTGGTTTTACAACATGTCAACCCTCGCTGTGTTGTGTAATAGCGAAGTCATTACTTAGAGCGAAACACACTTAGCTCGATCACCATTAACTGACGCCGAGGCGGTGAGAGAGTAAGTTAAGAACGCAAATCTCGCTTTTGGATTTCTGTAATCTACTTCAAATATTTGTGTATAGTCGAACCTCTGTGGCAGACTTTTCTTTTTTTTTTTTTTAATCAATCTCTGTTGTTTTGACAAACATCTACTACAATAAATGCTTTCAAAATAACACAATCCAAAATGGCTGGTCATTCAGAGCCGAAACTCATGAGGTGTGCAATTACATTTTTTTTATTCTCTCATTTTTTTTTTTTTTTTTTTTTAAAATTACTAAAAAGGTCGCTCTCATTTGAACAGTGACTGCACCAGGATACGCAGTACAAATATTCTTTTATTGTCTGTGTTATTTTTTTTATTACTGTCTCGATGAAATTCATTCAGTATTCAAAGGTGAATATAACAATTATTAAAGTTTTGGATTCTCACCGGGTTGAAGTTTATCGTAATCGACAAATAGATCAGATATCAAAATAAATTAAGTCCTTGTTTCTTTCTGTCAAACCTTGATTTCACAGTAGATGATTAGCTTAAAATATGTGAGTTTAATATCTGTCTATATTTCTGAGATGAGGTATTATGTACACTATTTACATTGTTCGGACTATTGTCCTCATCTTTGCCGCCATATTTATTACAACGTTTTGGCCCTTCAGTACCTGTCTATATTTCTGAGATGAGGTATTTTGTACACTATTTACATTATTCGGACTATTGTCTTCATTTTTATCGCCATATTTATTACAACGTTTCGGCCGTTGTAAGCTCCGACCTTCTTTAGGTGGTTGGAATGTCGAACTGAACCCTATATAAAAACAATTCGTTAACTCTTTTCGGAAACTTTTGTGTAGCGATATAAAATGTTTTTATCATAATCTATTATAATAAAAAAATATTACAATATATATATATATATATATATATATATATATATATATATATATATATATATATATATATATTACTACGTTATTAAAACATCGAAATCCGAAAGCAATAAATAAATATATAAAGAATAAAATAGAAATAAAAAGCAAGGAAAATAAATTAGCCCAAATAGATAAACAAGCCAATCCCGCCAAAATAATCGCCAGAATACATTATTCACAATGCACCACTGACCCATATATATAAATCGTCGATAAAAAATCCAATACTCGCGGCCTGATGATTACGTCTAGCATGAAACAGCCTGAGTATTGGCTTCAATGTTCACTTTTATATTTATATTTACATAAGCTCTATCTCTGATATTGAGCACTTTATCCCATAAATATTGCACACCTTAAAAGTATATCTCTTCGTATATATATATATATATATATATATATATATATATATATATATATATATATATACGGACATACAGATAATAGAGCAATAATTATTTATTATAATATTTACATACAGACTTGTTTCGATGTTGCTATATCTCGTTTGGTGAGAACCAAAAATGGTTATATTTTATTGATAACCGTTTTTTCTTTCTCCCCAGTCGAGATGCAGCCGCACCGAAGCAATAATGCCTCTTTGTAGTGAGTAAGTTGTTTTTGTCTGTATGTAAAACTTATAATAAATAATTATTGCTGTATTATCGGAATTGAGCCCGCTTTTGAATTAATGCTGTGAACGTTAGAATTTATATTATTTTCGTTCTCATTCTTATTATACATATATATATATATATATATATATATATATATATATATATATATATATATATATATATGTGTGTGTGTGTGTGTGTGTGTGTGTGTGTGTGTTAATAGAATAAAATAATTCACTTTCAGATGAATTCAATTGTGACTTTCACGGGATAGCTTTTTATATCCAATCTTTGGTGAATTTTGAATGTGCGTCTAGTGTTAATGGATAGCGGTTACATTCTGGGGGATGGATGCTCGTGTGTCACTTGGCGTGCGCCCCGAGCCTAACGTAACTAACATTTTACCTTGACCATCGGTTATTAATATATATTTTCCGATATTCCTACAAGCGGTTTTATAATTTTAAAAATTTGTTCCCGCAAAATGGTGCGAACCGGTAAGATGCTAACACTCTCTTTATCTATCTATCTATCTATCTATCTATCTATCTATATGTATATATATATATATATGTATATTAAGACATTTTTATGTTTATAAATCATTAAACTTTATGTTTATATATCTTTAAACTACAATCTTCCATGATTAAAGGCAGTAAAATCGACCTTGCTAACAGAACGCTCCTCTGTGGACTTATCGGTTAAAGGCACGTTAGGCTATATGACGGTTCCGTATAGGATACAGTTTCGATTCCTGTCGGGGGACGAATATTTTCTATGAAAATTTCTCGGATATTCAGGCCGGTAAATGTTTAATACTGTTTATTATAAACATAGAATTTACTTAAATATTTGTATCTAGAATGTATAAACATAAAATGTCCTAAAATAATTGTCGGACATTGTCCATTTCATAATATATATATATATATATATATATATATATATATATATATATATATATATATATATATATATATACATATAGATATATAATTTAAGTCTGTAATATCGTACAATGAGTGCTGGTGCTAATAAAATAATGCATGATGTATAAATATAGAGCTATAATTTATATTACTAATATACATTTTTAACTCATCGGTGGAGAAAACTAATGTATATCTTTTATTAGTACAAGGAGAGACAGAAATATCTCCCACATAATGGTTTGGTTTGGTTTATTTTGTTTAACGGCATATCAAACACAATGGGTTATTTAATGCCGACAACATTTCTAGTAGAGATTCGTATGAATAGAATATATATTCTTTGGTTTAGATTGGTTTGGTTTATTTTGTTTAACTGTATATCGATCTCAATGGGTTATTTAATTCTGACAAAAATTTCAATTGCTGGTAATTTTGTTTTGTGAAAAATCTGTTTCTGGTAATATATTTCCTTCAAAATTGTATTGCTGGTAATAATTTTTTTCAAAAAAGTATTGCTGGTAATAGTTGACAATTTGCCCATAGCTGGGACCCTAACTGGTGCTACCAACCCAGATCAGGGTGGACCTGGGAACACCAGCAATTAAGAGGTCCCACATAATGGTTAGACATTAGTGGCAAAAGTTTCTTCAACTATCTAATGCCTTACCATCATGTTAATAATAATAATAATATATATATATATATATATTTGTACTTCCCAAGATTTTCGAAGGAAATTTATATATTCAGTGTTTCAGTGGCATGTTTCAGTGTTTATTTAAATTCATCATAAAAAATACAAAAAACGTCATATTTCTACCTTTTCCATATTATATCATATTATATATATATATATATATATATATATATATATATATATATATATGTGTGTGTGTGTGTGTGTGTGTGTGCGTTTTCTAAGGAATTAGCGGATTTTATTTTTAATACAACATCATTTCTTATTAATAAAGTATATGTGCATTTCAGTAGTGATCGAACAGGCGTCCTTTTGTAGAGATGGTGTTTTCTCCTACCTCCATACCACACTATCTATCTATCTGTCTATCTACCTCAATTTGCTCAAATCTATGTATCTATCGATTTCAATTTGTTCAGATGTATCTATCTATCTCACGTTGTTCAGATCTATCGCATTTTGTTCAGATCTGTCTCACTATTTCACATTAAGATCTATCTATCTATCTATCTATCTATCTATCTATCTATCTATCTATTTCACTTTGTTAAGATCTATCTATATATCTCACAGTGTTCACATCCATCCATCCATCCATCCATCCATCCATATATTTACCTATTTCACTTTAAGATCTACCTGTTGATCTCACTCTGTTCGTATCTATCTATCTATCTATCTATCTATCTATCTATCTATCTATCTATCTATCTATCTCAATTTGTTAAGATCTACCTGTTGATCTCACTCTGTTCGCATCTATCTATCTATCTATCTATCTATCTATCTATCTATCTATCTATCTATTTCAATTTGTTAAGATCTATCTATCTATCTATCTCTATCTGTTCGCATCTATCTATCTATCTATCTGTCTCTATCTATCTATCTATCTATCTATCTATCTATCTATTTCAATTTGTTAAGATCTACCTGTTGATCTCACTCTGTTCGCACCATCTATCTATCTATCTATCTATCTATCTATCTATCTATCTATCTATCTATCTATCTATCAGATTGTCTCCCTTTGCTATTTACTTTCACTATTCACTTGGACTGTTCATATCTATCGAGCAATTATATATTGAAGTGACCGTAAAAATAAATGATCGCGCTTCAACGGTGCCATGTGTTCAAGGGCAAAAGAAGTAAAACATTCACAAGTTTATTTACCATTTATTTTGCCGAGGAAATCATCCATGCAGTGTTTTTTTATATATATTTCGTTACAGGATTGCGCAACACGTCCCTTCATGAAAATCATAATAAGTCTTTCGATTATTGAACATTATGTCATATTGCACGACCATAAAGTCGTCATGAAGGCCATAAAATGTGAAGGATTTGCCACGATCTATTTGTCGTCAATGTGCCGGGACAAATTAGCCAAGCAGAAATGCGCCCACCTTACATCTATCTATCTATCTATCTATCTATCTATCTATCTATCTATCTATCTAAAGCTGTTCATTATCTATCTATCTATCTATCTATCTATCTATCTATCTATCTATCTATTTTCATTATCTATCTATCTAGCATTAAATAATAAACTTCATCTATTTTTATAGTAACGTTTTTGAAGCTTTATTTTATTTTTCTATCTGGTAATAATAATAATAATAATAATAATAAGAAGAAGAAGAATATCAAATTGTCAGTTTCATGATATCTATCTATCTATCTATCTATCTATCTATCTATCTATCTATCTATCTAAACCTATTCATTATCTATCTCAACCTATTCATTATCTATCTATCTATCTATCTATCTATCTATCTATCTAAACCTATTCATTATCTATCTATCTATCTTTATTATCTATCGATCTAGCATTAAATAATAAATTTCTATTTTTATAATAACGTTTTATTTTATTTTTCTGTCTGTTAATAATAATGATAATAATAAGAATGAATATCAAATTGTCAGCTTCATGATATCTATCTATCTATCTATCTATCTATCTATCTATCTAATGAGCTATTTTAATTCGGTTTCAGTTTAGGGTTGGGTTTGTGATTCCTTTGTAAAGGCTACATCAACTTATTCATCTAACGTCGCCTCCTAATCTTTTTGTTGTTGTCCGTTTCCCATTCCCCCTCATTTTTTTTTCTATTTTAACGGGTGTAGCGGATTATCCTTGGTTTCCTGTTTCAATTTCGATTCCCGGTTTCCGGTTCCTTCTAAAGTCTTTCCATTCTATTTCACTCTCTGTAGCTCCTTGTGTCTTAATGGCATTATCGCCTTTCTTGGGGTGAATAGATAAAATGAAATAGTTTCTCGTAATTTACTTGTAAAATACGTTTGACCTGAAAGCATCCCCTCCCCACCCCCAGCATTAAAAAGGCAACGCAGATTCGATTCTTGTTGGATAGTAGTTTTTCTTTACGAAAAACGTTTATTCTTTACACACACACACACACACACACATATATATATATAGCTGTGAGAGTCCATGTGTGCGTGGGTAAATTACCATAACAGATAGCTTTTGCTGAAAAAGTGCATTCTGTTTTCTTGCGATTGATGTTTAGTCCTTTCTTCCTTCTTTCCTTAATTACTATGAGTTCATGAGTTCTTATAGTTTCCTTTCTGTTCGTGCTGCCAACAATATATCATCTGCATACCTTATGTTGTTTAGATTGTTGTCGCCGACAATGAATTCTGGTAGGCCTTCTAATTCTCTCAGAATCGCCCCACTGCATAGGTTGAATAAATCCGGTGAGAAGACACAACCTTGTCTTATACACTATTTACATTATTCGGCTTATTGTCTCCAAGTTCTCCTCTGCCTTAACCGGATTTTGAGACCCACACTCTTTGAGTCCTCAAGAACACATGGCACAGTGGATAAACCAAACTAATGCCTTTATCCACTGTGCCACATGTCCTCAAGGACACATGGCACAGTGGCGTAAAGGTGTTGGTTAGATCCAGTGACAGGACCCAAAGAGTTGTGAGTTCAATACCCGGTTAAGGCAGTAGAGAACTTTCAGAGAGAAATTAACAGGAGATAACTGATAACTGACATCCATTAAACATGGCACGTGGAACTAGAACAGTCTACCCAAGTGAGCGAAATAAAGGATTCAGTTCGACATTCCAACCACCTGAAGAAGGCTGGAGTGTACAACAGCTGAAACGTTGTAGTAAATATGGCGATAAAGGTGAGGACAATAGTTCGAATAATGTAAATAGTGTACATGATACCTCATCTCAGAAATATAGACAGATACTGACAGGCCAAAACGTTGTAATAAATATGTTGCTAAAAATGAGGACAATAGTTCGAATAATGTAAATAGTGTACATAATACCTCATCTCAGAAATATAGACAGATACTTGTCTTATACCCCTTTCTAGTTTTGTATGTTTCTTGTTCTATACGTATGCAGGTGGTTTGTTCGGAGTGTAGGTTCTGGATTATTCTAATATCCTTTCAAAATATAGCAGGGTTACGTAGCAGTTCCATGATTTCTTTCTGACGTAACTTATCAAACGTTTATGGTGGGGGGGATCAGTTATGTGAAGTCAAGTTTTTTTTTATGAATTTGCGTTGACGTGAATAGAGGAAAGAATAGGTTGTCATTTGAAGTAGTCGATTGACCTCCAGTTAATTGAAAGCGTAAGCTGCTAAATTTCAATAAAGGAAATAGAAAAGAAAAGAAAAAAATATGTATATATATATATATATATATATATATATATAAAGTCATGAGAAAGAAATAGAAATAGTCGAGTCTCTCGACATGTCGTGAAGTCCCTACTCAACCGCGGCAAAAACCTGGCCTGTCAGCAAGAAATGTATTAATTCAGAAACGCAGTGAAACGAAGAGACATTAAAACAAATATTGACACAAGGTTGACACTTCTTATTTAAAATTCTGTATAAGAATGGCCTTTGGGCTCACCTGGCGTATCTGGAGAGGCAATACTTCAAAAATGTCAAAATGATATTTATATATATATATATATATATATATATATATATATATATATATATATATATATATATATATATATATATATATATATATATATATATATATATATATATATATATATATATATATATATATATATATATATATATTATATATAATTATTTATATATTATATGCACGTACTTATTAAAGCGCTCAACATCAGAGACAGTGCTAACATATTTGTTTGGACTGATATGAGTTTGACCCTGGGTTTCACGCTTTTGCGATTGTCAGACAAGCGATCGCAAAGCGTGAAACCCAGGGTCTAAACTTGTATCAATCAACCAAATATATATATATATATATATATATATATATATATATATATATATATATATTTATAAAGAACTTAAAAAACTTTTTTCCGTATGGGCAATTCCAAGGAGGATGAAATCCTGAGAAGCATATATATATATATATATATATATATATATGATGTCATTTGTATTTGTTTTGCTATATTTGTCCGTTCTTAAGAAGAAAGAAAATATATAAATTTACTTTCATATGATAAGTTTTTATTCCAATTCTAATCATCACTTTTTAAAACAGTAAACATTACCGAATAGTGAAGGTGGTTAAAAAAAAGAAAGTCATGAGATGTGCCTCCTTTTAACAGGACGTCCTTCTACGGGCACGTTATATATAAATATGCTGTATTTATTTATTCTGTCATTATATATTTGTTATATATCTCTATCTATAAAAGGCAGGTTGTGTGTGTGTGTGTGTGTAACGAATGCACGGCCGCAATTTACGACGGATTTGCACCATAATTTACATCAACATGCTCCAAGTTAGCGGGAAGCCCAAGACCGACTTTGCATTTCCCAAATCGATTTTTTCATTCTTCTACGGCAGTTTTCATGTAGTTTGCGGCCATTTTCTACTGGCCAGAGTGAAAGCCTATAGCTGGCTGCCACGAATAGGTAGGAAGATTCTATTGGCCAGCGTGAGAGCCAACAGCTGACTGACATGAATGTTAACTAGCATGCTAGCGTGCAAAAAATCGACAAGTGGAAAAAAATTTAAATCAGCATGGCACTTTACTCCAATTGGCTCATTCGCTTGCTTAAACTCAACGTTGATTCTGATTCCGCAGAACTGGGTTGGGTGTGAAAACTATTTGTTGTTAACATTCTTTTTCATTCATTTTTTTCCAGTTACGAGTCCTTATTTTTAAAGCTGATCGTTTTGTGTTCATTTTGTTTAGTTCTTTTTTCGTAACAAATTTGATGATGGCCATGTTGGCCGAAACTAGTCGAGGAATCTAAATGAAATAATAAAAAAAAAAGAATATTAATATACAACCCAGCGTGTCTGAAGATTTTAATATTTTTATTGTTCAATACATACATACATACATACATATATATATATATATATATATATATATATATATATATATATATATATATATATATAATTCTGTATTTGTGAAGCATTCCCTCTTTTATACAGGTTTCATTGAAGACGATCACTGACAAGGTACTGTAATTAAGCTATTTAAAATATTTTATTGCATTCATACTAGGGATTTCTTTTTTGGACATAGAGTGTGTAAGATAATACACACGCACACACACTCATTCTCTCTCTCTCTCCCTCTCTCCCTTTCTCTCATTATATATACATAGAGACAGAGATAGAGCCAGAGAGAGATACAGGTTTCACTGAGAAGGTATAGCAATTAAGCGCTCCTGAAGATTTCATCCAAGCATGAAATAGACAGTTGCCATTGGGTGTTGATGTCAGTGTCCACTCTTCTACTTGTACACGTTCTAACCCTAATATTGACCACTTTTACACATAAACATATCATACCTTAGAACAGAATCTTTATCATATATCTTCATGTGTGTGTGTGTACAAAAATTACAAATAGAGTATATGCAAAATATAAAAGGAAAAATAACATGATGAATATTCATGTGTATTCTTAAATTTTTTGAAAGAACAATATTTCTGCTCTTGTATATAAGTACATGTTACAAAATATAATCCTAGCATAATCTTACACAAAATACCTAAGTGCGTGTGTGTGTGTGTGTGTGTGTGTGTGTGTGTAGAAACAATACGAGTACCCACTAAAAATATCGTTTAAAGTGTTAAAACCTGTTTGATTGATAAATAAAAAACCATAACCTTAGGATATATATATATATATATATATATATATATATATATATATATATATATTGGGATCAAATATGGATTAAAAGGATAAACATTTGAATGATATATATATATATATTTATATATTTATATATATATCCATATATATATATATATATATATATATATTTTAAAAATTTCAGTTTGAATTTTACTTTTCATCATTTTTTCAAATAAATGTCGTTCTCGTTTGAATTTTGAAACATGAGATTTTAAATTGGAATCATATTTTTATATATATATATATATATATATATATATATATATATATATATATATATATATATATCAATCTTTCAATGTGGTTTTTTAAATATGATAGATTGAAAGCTATTTTTTATAGCTTTCATGAAATAAAAAATTATTAAGTCTCAGATTTTAAGTGTTCATTAATTAATATATGCACACACACGCACGCACACACACACATATATTAATGAATATCAAACACTTAAAATCCATAAAAGTAACGTATAAACAGAAAATGTATTAACGTATATATTAATATATTTTCTGTCTATACATCATTTGTATGGATACAACTTATTTGAGTAAAGACTCTGTTTTTAATTAGACAGTACTACATTTGCCGGCCTGAATGTTCGAGAATTTTTTTATTTTCTCCGAGAGGGATCGAACTTGTAACCCATATTGAAACCGTCATTTGG